TACGAGAACGCGTAGTTGTAGAAATATTCCAGAAAAATCAAACGACGAAAAAATAGCCATATTATTAGATCAATTGCAGAGAGAACGCAACGAATTGAGTAGATTACATCAAAAGGAGATTGCCGATTTAGAAAGTAAACACGAACGACAAATAACAGCAGACCCCGAGAGTATAGAACTTTTAGACGCTCAGACTTCTGAAAAACACGCACTCAAACTGAAACATGACCAAGATAACCAAATTCAAAGAACACGTCACGAGAACAGAGAAAGGGAACTTAATTTTACATCACATTCTGAAAGTGAAACTTCGCAATCACTAATGAAAACTGGATCCAAACGATCGCATAACGTGTTAACTGTTCCGAAAGATCCAGTAACAAGGAAAGGTCGACCTAAAAAATCTCCAGCGAAACGACGAGTAGACTTTGAATCTAGTACTAGTGATGATGTTGGCAACGTCACTACAGATATTAATGCAAGTGAAACTTCCAATGTTCAAGAGGAAAAAACAGAATCGGAGTATGAACTAGCTCTGACTAAGATACAATCCGATGAACCCGTCGTGTCCACGGACGATATACAATCGATCATTAAATCCAATTTATTACACGGTCGAAATAAATTACTATTTAGATATTCCGAATACCTACCCCTCACCCCACATAGGAGCAAATCGCTTCAACGATATGTACCTAACATATTGGAGGATAATCTACCTTTAGGACGCCGAAGTTTGATCAGAATGTATACTTTATCAGATATGGATAAATTTTGCAGAGGCGCATGTTTTTTAATCTTTAACGAGAATATGGGGTACGGTGTAATCAAGGTTTTAGAAAATGGACACATTAAATACGAAGTAAAGGTGGGTGATGATTTCAAATCAATAGAAAAATTTCCTATAGACGATATCATAGCTTTAAAAACATTGACCTTAATGCGTATTCGCTACCTCGATCACGAATTCGTGATATATTTCGAAACCGATAACCCTATACATTGGACTGTACTATTTTGTATGCATTTCGAATTTGACAAAGCTGAAAAAATAGATGATAATGCGAAAATGTTCAATATTTTAAAATGGCTATACTTCTTCGATACTACGACCGAACACACTAAAATGAAAAAACGAAATGCCATTTCGTTGAAACTTTTACGAATATATGGACATCAATTTTATACGACTAATGTTCAATGCCTCAACGTAAAGAATAATCGTAAATTTCTGAATCCATTCGTTTTTGCACCAGACGTGATCACATCGAATGGAGACGTCATTCGTGGCATTTCGCATTCGTCGTTTATGTGTACTGCACATATAATTAACACTCAAGTACATCGCGCATACGATGATATAATTCGTAAAACATTTCATGAAAAATACAATGTCACATTAGGAAGCGACGATATGATATACATACCTCCAATTGAATTCATGGTAAGCGAATTCACTCCCAAAAAATGTCATACATTTTTAATGCGACAAGGTATGCTGTATAATTTTGTTTTGACAAAAGAGAGTAATTTAACTTTATTCGGAAATTACAACCCCAACAGTTTGCTTCCGCTAGATGCAATATATACAAAGAATGATCCAGTGATACTTAAATACGAGAACGAACCGTTATGTTCGTACAATTCAGATCTAATCATCACGTCTTTTCCAACATTCGAATTCAAAAAGGCTTCCCCGTTTGATGTGACACTTTTTGCACAATTTCAACGGAGATTCACTTTAGCAGTTCAAAATAGAGCATTCGTACGTGCTGCGCTCGGCAATACAGCTACGATTTTGTTGGCTGTGAGTCAATATAAACAATTTCGTCCCAATGTTGATGAATATTCTAAATTTTTATATGCTAATACATGTGCTTATGACATACATTATAATTGTTTAATTAATCTAATTACAGCTACGTCTCAATTATCAACCGAATTTTTGAAAGATAGAAAGACATTTCATCCTTTTCTCTCTTTTATGGTAGGCGTAAAGAATAATGGCTCGTTATTACCTCTTTACAGACATTACCTAATGAATACCGATTTACTTAAGATCCTTTTGTTATTCACAGATGTATATAGAGAAGGGCTTGTTGTAGCCAGAAATTCTGAAATAATTAGTAAGATGCACGGGGGATTGATCGATATATATAATCCTTTCATATTTCAAGAAATTTATTTCAAGGATATATCCACTATCACACGTCCAAGAAAGGATGAAGATTTAGTAGCCTACGTAAGCAAGTACACGAGAAGTTATTATGTTTGGAAAATAATAATAGAAACATTGTATCGTACCAATATCGCAAGTTATTTGGAAAAACCACCTACTGATTTAAACTTGGCAGCGATGGGTGTATACATTAGAGATTCCGTTCAACAAAACATAGACTTAGAAATTAATCATTTCTTATCAATCGTTAGTTTCCGTCACATTACGTTGTTATACGTACACGTTTTAGCGCGTGACGACGATCGTCGAAACGTACCTATCATACCGTTGGCAAAGGAATTGATACAAAGAAATGAAAGTGATTTTACTTTAATAGACAAATTATTAACCAGCGCCGAGTGTATATCAATTTTAAAAATTGACTTGGATACGAAAAATTATTTTACCACAATTGATTCCATTACGGAGCACCTTTGGCCTCTTCGGTTCGGAAATGTACCTTAGATTAGATTAAATTAGATTAAAAACAAATTTATTAAAAATGATGTGTACAATTTCTCAACGTCACGAAGATTATGCGTCGCATTTGCGAAGCATATGTCGTGAACTACCCCGTCTAAAATTTCTTGCAAAGACGTATCTGAGAGTAGAGCGCTATTTAGCAACGTGTGGATTATACCTAAATACACCATGTACACACGGCAATGATTCAGGGTGTTGGCTTTTACGAGTGACCTCTCCCTTAAATGATATATTATCTCATATAGACGTTGAATTGAGAGAGAGTTTTTCGCAAACCTTATGTATGCAATCGTTCAAAAAGTGTAAACAATTGGAAAGAAACATTCGTGCAAACGATGCATACATTTTAATCCATCGTTTACTCACCATCCATAGTTGTATCGTTATAGTTGACATTTCTGAAAGTTCAATCCATCCAGCAATTCTTAGTGACGCAATTTTAAATAATTTTGGTGTACGCAATGTATCTGTTTCATTTAATAAGTTACGAGAAAACACGCCGTACGAAATTATGAGAGCAATTAGTTTATTACAAACAGTAGAATGTATTAATGTTAATGGGATCGAAATTCCTCCCAACGTTACTGATATGTTTGTTGATATGTTGGCACAACGTAAAATTCATACTTTAAAATTGTCTAATAATCGATTTCTTTTAGATAAAACTTTGGTCAATTTATGTCATGACGATAAACTACGAGTTTTAAAATTACACAACAATTTGATAGGTATCCAGGGTCTGCGAGCAATTGCGGAATTGCTGGTAATTAATAAATGTAAACTCGAAAGTTTATCTTTAAAATATTTAATAGGTTTACAAATGAATCACATACCGTGTTTGTTGACATTTAACGTCAGTTTAAAAAGGCTGTGCATCGAAGGGTCTACATTTGTGAGAAATGATGCATGGTCTCTGATAAACGCTCTCTGTCACAACGAAAACTTGGAGACATTAAAGTTGATCAAGTGTGGTCTGGATAGTAGTACAACCGAACCTTTTGCTCGATTGCTTATGATGAATAAATCTTTAAGAAAGATAGACGTGAGTAAAAACAATTTTGATTTCCAATCAGCTGTATTGATAGGTAATGCATTCCGATTCAACTCCACTCTTCGTACACTTAATCTCGATAAAAATAATTTCGGACACAACGGTATAATGTTTTTGATTCTTGCGTTAAATGAAAATAATTTCATTACAGAATTAGGGTTTCATTCTACACCAGTTGATGTAAGCTTAAACGAATTTCTAAGACTTCAAAATGTTTATCACCGTGTACGATTTAATTATAACGGAAACCAATTGTTAGGAATTTCGAATAGCATCATTAACAATTCAAATGGAATCACTCATTTGAATATATGTAATGTAAACGAAGGAACGATCGATAACGACTTTCTTCGCCAATTATTTCTGGCTCTTCGAAGTGCAGTTCGATTAGAAAGTATTAATATGGAATTAAATACACACTTGGAGCAAGATGCGGCTATAGAATTCTCAGGCGTTTTATCTACGAGTAAAACGCTTAAAAAAATTAGGTTAATTACGTATACCGTTTCGAGCGCTCCGGCACTTGTAATAATGAAAGAATTGGGGAAAAATCGAATAGTAACGCATTTCGATATGAAATTTCAAAGGAATGTCGTTACACATTTTATTCAAATGTTAAAAACCAACGAAACATTGGAACACTTCGGTACGATCCGCGCGCACGTGGACGATTTCAAATACATTGCACGTTGTATAATTTCAAATATTTCTATAAGATCTATTTTAATGGATTATGATCCTATACACACGAAAACAATTAATAAAATTCGAAATATTTTGAGACGCAATACATCGTTTATTAACACAGCAGTACAGTTTGCAATAGATCCATGTAAGTTTGGTGTAAGGCGACTTCCACCATTTTTATACGAACAATTTTGTGTCAAAAAGAGTTTTAACGTAATATTAAATAATTATATAAAAGATGAAAACATTCAAGAAGTAAAATATCGTGCAGAACGGTACATACGCGCAAACTTTTTAGCTATAACAGGAATCTCGAGCGGTGTAATAACTTGTTTTCCAACAGATAAACAGGAAAGTCAAATCGATTGTTTAAATTACGACTGTTTGGATAAGATTTGTTCATATTTGAAGATAAAAGATATCGCATCGTGGCCCTCGTCCAGATTCTCCCTCACGACCCCAATTATGACATAAATAAAGCATTATGATTTTTTTTTATTTTACTCTCATTATTTAGATTTAAATTATACCGAGAGTTTTTTTTTAAATAAATGCAATCCAAACATTTTTCTTTTCAAATATTTATTAACAAGAATAAATTCAATCGGCTAAGAAGAATCCGTTACAAAACAACTTCAACAATTGCATCTTCATTTTCTTGTATGTCGTTGTTGTTGAGATCGGTGATGTTGTTTTTGTCATCCACGACGACAGAATCGTTGCTATAGTCGATATCCTCATCCAGTTCAATGCCTTGGATATCGTCAAAGTATCCGCCTTGACTTTGCAGATCACGGTAATCCCATTCAGGCTTGGTGTACGAATGTTCGTCGCGAATGCATCTCTCACGTTTCTTCGATTCCTCCAGTGTTGGTATAATAGAGTCCAGGGAGTATGGATCTCCAACGAAGAAACTTTCTAGATCGAGATCGATATTGCCGTCGCAGTTTTCGAGCATAGCTTCTGATGTGAAGTTCATGGTACGAAGATATTCAAATTTCGCTTATCCCGACTTTATATAGCGTAGAAGATTGCTACACCTCTTTTTTACTCGAAAAACAAAAATAAAGTAAACTACGTCCTGTTTGTTATCTTTCAAAAATAATGTGTGGTAATTGAAGACAGGAAACGTCTGCAAAGCTTCCTGGAGTTTGTTCAAGTAAATAAAACGAAAAAAAAATAGAGGGAGAGGGGTATGATGGAGAGGATTTTTCGGTGTCTACGATTGGATGCAATCTATGGTACCGCCTCACTTGTCTTACAAAGCAAAAAATAAAAGGATTACTACACCCAAAAACACGTGATCCTGTTTTTGTATGTGAATTACTTAATGTAACTCTAGCACCGTAAGTAACTGTGTCTCACATTTGATATAAATAGAGCTGATTTTTGCGATGTTTCAGTCTGACTGGACGAATTATTTTTTGAAGACGTCAGCAGCAACATGGTAAGCCTTTTTTATCACATTTTTTCTCCATTTTCAGTCTAACACGTGGTTATATTTTTCTATATATGCGCAGTCGCAACAGAGCCGCTTCATGGTGCGACGTTTGGCAGCAAGAAACGATTTCGTCTTGGCGACGAATTTACATTACCAGCATCCAAACCTACTACCAACAACAAGCGTCGTTTTTAATAGGCTGCAATGGCTTCGGACGCAGTGTGACATAGACACACCGTGCCACGGAACGGACGAAGACTGTTGGCTCTTAAAGCAAACCAAGAATTTCAACTTGATATTACAACACGCTCAATTAGAGATGAAAGTTGTGTCGCCAGGACATCTCGGCATTTGTGAATTAATGAACGGACCTTATTTTCCGCACGACAGTTTAAAAACATTGGATGTATGCCTTCTCCTTCATCGGTTGCTCGTTCGACACCACTGTATAGGAACCTTGCATTTATCTAACCCATGTGAAACGTTGTGCGGAATGGTTGCCGATGTGTTTCGTGTAAAATCTGAAGGATTGCGCGAACTCAAACTGTCTTGTTTGGACATGACGTCCAAGACTCAAGACTCCCTCTTGATGGGGATTTCGAAACTCTGTTCATTACAGAAGTTGTACATTTCTGATATAAATATATCGCACGATGTCACTGAATCTCTGCTCAAAATGCTAAATCGTCAGTCGCTAGTGAGTGTGTCTTTGATTAACGTCGGAATGACTTCCTGTCAAGCCGGAAAATTTTTAGAAGCAATATGTACAAACCACCAACGGCTACATTCTGTATGTATCCATCATACTATAATCGATGATGTTGGTTTAGTTGCTCTCGCCAAATTATTGGAAAAGAGTGATTGTGTCCTACATACGTTATCGTTGTGTAATATCGTCGAGTTCACAAACACGTCCATTTTTGCAGCATTGCGTGTGAATAAGAGTGTAAAAATATTTGAGATGAACGGTTGTCGTTTAAGTAGAGAACTTGGAGCGCAGTTGATGAACGCGCTTGCATTTAACGACACCATCGATACATTGAATCTTCGTTGCTCCAATGTAAAAACATTTACTTCGCATTTCGCTAATGCCTTGTTTGTAAATCAGACTATTCGCAATGTCAATTTAGATTACAACTTCTTTGACATCGACGATGTTGTGCAAATCGCAGAAGTTTTAAAACGTAATCGCACGCTAGAGACACTCGGTATCGAAAGTAACAATTTTGGTCCTATCGGTCACTTGATCTTAATGACTGCCCTTGTTGAGAACAAGACTTTGACAGACCTTAATTTAGGTTACGTAGACGCAAACGAAGAGATTTACGATTTTTTAAAAAAAAGCACAGTCTCTCATCGCTTACGATTTCCCTGCGATTTTGAGATCTTTGAAATCATTACGAGAGACATCAGTCTTCATAACGTAACTTCCATCCATGTGGAATGTGTAGATAGTTTTAAATCTACACATTTGGGCAACCTTTTTTCAGCAGTACACAGAAATGCCGTATGTTTGAAAACTCTTCACATCGAGGTAGATGCACACATGGACTGCCATGCAGCTTTTCAATTGTGTAAATTGCTAAAAAATATGTCTACTCTTAAACGAGCTTCAATAAACACTTACTATCCATCGTCCTTAGAATTGGTAACTATTTTGAGCGGTCTTTGTCAAAATCGAAGTGTAACGCATTTTAACATGGGATGTATCTACACTAAACAAATTGTAACAAACGCAATTGTTAAAGTGTTGAAAGAAAATGTGACGCTATCGTATTTCGGTACGATCAGTGCTCCAAAGGACGAGTTGCACATCATCGCTAACGGACTTCGTACGAACGTTGTGTTAACGTCTCTCGTTATATGTAGCGACTGTGATTACATGGAGCTGTTTGTGATTAACCAACTGTTGAGACGAAATGTAGCACTAGTGAGCGAAACTGTAAAGTTTGTCCTAAATCCACATGAACGCGTCATTACTCGCTCATTAGCCAAAGTGTTTGAATTGTTGCAAGAGAAAGAATCCTTTACGAAGATGCTTGCTGAGTGTTGCGCAGAGTGTCATGTCGAATCTAAAACCGTGTTGAAAAATGCACGGAATCGCGTGACACAAAACTTCTTTGCCATTACGGGTATATGTAAAGTGTTGGAGTGTCGTCCTCCACCTAGGCGACGGCGAAAGTGTCTGCAAATCGATGCTCTGAATTACGAGTGTTTGTTGAAAATTTGGTCTTATTTAAAGGTATCAGATATTGTGGTATAACTTGTTTATATACATGTTGGCCATTGTATATAATGTAAATATTTCTTTTACTATTGTAATTACTGTTTAAAATTGTGTGAATATTTCATCTGCGTTAATAAACCTTGCAATATTATAAACTGATGTCTGAAATCTCAAAGCACACAAGAGGCTTGGTCAAAATATTTTTACCTTCCCCACCACTATGGAAAGAGGGTCGTAAAGTATAGACCTTTTTCGCAAGGGCGCCGCCATCTTGAATTGTCGTCACTTCCAGTATGGGCGAAAACATTGTTTTCCCGTCGCCACGCCAATAGAAGGCATTTAGGAAATAAACGTAACCGTCACACATTCTCGTTTTGCCTCCCCTCTATTTTTTTTACTATTTGCAGGTTGAAACGTTCTGATATTTTTTCGTCGCCGGATATGCCTACTTGGCGGTCGGGGGGAGAGGGTAAGCGGAAAAGGTCTATATAATAAATATATGGGGTATATATATAGTGGAGGAGTATAACTAACTAACATATGAGAAAAGAGTTGAATATATTACGATGGACAGGAATGATCTACACCAAAAAGGTAGGGTTCATTTTGTAATGTGATTTTTATTTTTCCTTTTCAATATCAATATATTTAATTGAATTCTATATCCACTTTCTATCTAAAGGTGAAGACTTCTGGATAAATTCAACGATTCTTCAAGTGCGTGAATTACGTGACAAGGTGGCATCGAAAGCTTGTGGCGGAGAAAAATGTTGGATATCAAGAATTATGGCAGATGTGAATTCCATATTACGTTTTATGGAACTACAATTGATAGAAATTAAGCCTATGGAATATGGATTGATGTACTTTATGGATGTTGCTCCCATGGGGATAATGACGATACAATGTATCATTTATACGTCCACGTTTGTAAACTCGTTACCATTTTATTATGTACACATTCTTGCATTACGCGTATTGATATGAAACAAAGGCATGTTCGAGCATATTTTAATAGCCGTAAAAATCTCGATTGTGCTATTGCTTTGAATAAGGGTTTGAATAATATTTCAATTGAATGTGAAAGTTGGTACGGTGAACATCTAGATAACCTTCTAAAACCAATTTGTCAAACAACAAATAGAATAACTACTCTGTGTATTGAAAATACCAGGCTGACGGAAAACACGTGTGTGCATTTCGAGAAAATGATTGTCATGCAACCACTTCTACATGTGAAGTTTCACTTTCATATGTCTAGAGTAGTGTCTAATAAAATAATCCCCCTTTTATGTGAAAAGAAATTGGAAACGTTATTTTTGGCTAATCAATCTCTTGGCGAAATTGCTGCATTGGCTCTTGGTAAATTTTTATCTCGTGAAACTTGTCGTTTAAAAACGCTAAGCTTTATGAATCTTTATTACGTGAATAATTACTTTGATACCCTAGGTCCAGCACTCGGTATTAACCGTAGTTTAATTACGTTATTAATTCGTAATGTTTTAAAAATGACAATTGATGATGGTCTTTCATTATTAAATGGATTAATGACAAACGTAACGCTGAAACATTTAACATTACACCACTGTAATATGCGATTTGTTTCTGACGCCCTGTCAAAAGTGATTAAACATAACACAACGCTGACATATCTAAAACTAGACGATTATGGGTTTACTGATCAATTTGGTAAAGACCTCGCGGAAGCATTGGAGTATAATTCGAATCTAGAACGTCTTGTTATAGACGATGGTACGATCACACCAGCGTTTAAGATGTCTTTAATAGATGCTTTGAGTAAAAACACAAAGATTAAAGAATTGCGATTAAAACACAGCAACATAGACGAAAACATCGTTCGATCTTTAGATAGATCGTCATCATATCACCGAACAATGTATAACTATGATGAAATGTGTGTAAGAAATTTAATTGTTAGTATGAAGAACGATCCACTTAATATCACAAAACTAAAATTATTTTCTTACGAAAAATATTCTGACACGAGTTGTTTAAAAGATTTTGTTATGTCTTTGGTTCATTTACCATTCCTTGAAACTCTGAAAATTAAGACTGAATCACGTTTTAACGATGAAGTTGCAATTATATTTAGTAAATATATAGAAGGTGTCGTGAATCTTAAAAACGTAAAAATTTCATATCCGCAACCCAATGACGTGGTGAAAATACTTTTGGAAGGTTTATGCAAAAACAACAGCATAATTGATTTTGATATAGAGTGCAATTGTAGATGCACTGGTATTGTCGATTATTTTATAGAATTTTTTAAAACAAATACGAAAATGGAAACTTTTAGAACCGTTTACGTGACTAAAGATGCGTTAGAAAAAATTTGTAAATCATTTTATCTAAACACTAGTTTAACACATGTTCGTCTTGGTGGTCCTACAGATTGTAATGATGGATTGTTTCAAATTCGGAAAATACTGCAACGTAATAAATCGCTCGTTAATCGTGCGGTAGAGTTTGTCTTGAATCCATACATATGCAGTACGGCGAGTGCTTATATATACGATCGTTTACGCCTTTCCAATCAATTAAAGATTGTTCTTCTTGATGTTGTAGAAAAGGAAGAAATAGCGAATAGACTATTGAGGTGTGCACGTAATTATACTATATGTAATTTTTTTTTGTTAACTGGTGTTTGTAAAAACTTTATGATCTGCTATCCAAGCAATACCATTCAATTCGATTCCGTTTGTTACGACTGTGTCATTCATATTTGTTCCTATTTAAATCTGAGTGATGTGAAATAAACATGCGCACGATCGTGCTCGTGTAATTAGAAAATGTGTTTTTCACACTGTTGCTGTTGGTTTGTTTCGTGTTATTGTTTTTTGGAATAAAATCAAATGTGCTTCTTTCCTCTGACTATGTCGTCATTCTGTATTTTACGTTTACGATTATTTTTTGTCTGTGATTTAAAAAAAGTGGGTATGTGCATAGGATCTACAAGTTTCTTTGGAGATAATATTACAGCATCAACATCGAGAATATCTGTAAATTTTAGCATACGACCAGTCTGATTTGAATTGTCTATATTTGTCATTAAATTGGAGACTAAATTATAAACATATTTACGAATCCCGTTATCCCGATCGGTTAATTTGTCATTGGTCAAAAATTTGAAACAATGGTAAATGAAGTCGTATAGACGTTCACAGTCTGTGGCTTCTAATTGTAAAGAAGTATATTCAATCTCTTCGCCATATTGGTGTATTTCCGTGGTAACATAACTTGGAACTTTTATTAGGATATGTGCATCGAATATACGATATATATGATACACAACGTCCATAACTACTTGTATTAATTTATTTATTCCATATCTATTCATTACCGATTTATAATACATTATTAAATCTTCAGTAGACATTTCATAATTTAAAGATACTTCCGTAACTGTAACATTGAACGCACCAGCACAGTATACGTACACTGCTATTGCTCTTATTATATCTTCTGTCGAATGACTAAGTAATCTCCGACTAAAATAAGCATCTCGTAAACTTTCACATTCGACAAGCAATATTTTGTTATCGTGAACTGAAAATAATTTACGTCTAATCGACGCCGAATAAGGTGTTCGTAATAATGTAGCATATATATTCTCCCCATCTTTAATTGGATGCGTTCGTTGCATAAATGAGACGTATTTCCATACCATGTAAGTTAATAACCTAGGTGTGATGCCATTTGTGAACAGTAAATATTTACCATTGTGCATAGATATTTTAAAAGATCTAACTTTATTACATGCTTCGCTCAACCAATTGGACGTATCAGAGAACGCATGTTCGTCTGAATCAAACGTACAATCTGCAAATTTTGCAACTTCTTTTAAATCCAATCCTAATACATAATCGATGTAAAAATGTGCAATGTAAGGCAATGCTATATTTTCTAACCAACTCGTTGTAATAATTGAATAATCAAATAATAAAGATTCCTTTGGACATAGCGCCGCACCATATATGAAGGATTCTTCTTTTGCAAAATCGTCCTGCAATTTAAAAACCTCTTTGATACTCTCTATGTCTTCCAACGTTGTGCTCGGTTTCTTATCAATCCAAAGCGGACCCTGAAAAATATCCCAAATACTAGGAACAGTGTTGGATAACAGTTTATTTGAATGGCAAAATGGTTTATACTTATTGTATAAGAAGAACTCTTCAGTTCCATCGTTGACGAATACTAAAAAGCGTGCAAAGCCACTTCCGTCACATGTGTATATTAGGTTTACTATATTTCTTTGATCATTAATCAACGCACGGTAAGACATTTTTGAAAGCGTTATAGCATCTATACTATACCAATCGTTACCATCGAATAATGTCCTTTCGTCGATTGATATAAAGTTAAAAAATGGCGATGCTACAGGTTTCGGTAATGGTAAATACCTTGTTCGTACATGTAAATCGTCATCTGTGGGGTTCTTAGTAGTGAAAAAAAGCATTTCTTTGACTTTAGAAGTTTTTAACGTTATGAAATTCAACAAACGCATAACGTATATTCCAACAACCGCATGTAGATCTTTAAATTCATCCTTTCGTTTTATAAAGGTGTTATTAGGTAATATCAAATGTTTCACAATTAAGTTAACTTGGTGTAATATTGGAGCATAGTGTTCTGTAGAGCCAATTATATTATATTTATCTAAATCATTCAGTTTCATCTTATTGTTAGAATGAATTATACCCACACTTTGATGGTGTGTAATTGCAGTCAATACAGTGTGTGGTATTGTCGATTTAATATCTATCAATCCAGTAGTATGAATTGTATGTATGTTCATACTTTTCATATATTCTTGTATATGATATGTTGTAGAATCGGTGTGCTGTAAACATTTAAAGATTACCTCTAAAATTGCATGTGACCACGTACTTCCTTTACGTTTCAAATACGCAATATAATAATCATCGTTAGAAAATGTATATATTTCATCACCATTGTCTTCTATATTTGGTGTGTAGTGTTTATCGACGTCTTTGCTTAATTTAGGTTCAGTTGATGAAGCAGAATAGTATAGGACTAATAAACGTTCAACTAAAGACATCTTTACAAATACGTTCCTAGAATCTTTTAATGTGGTTTGTCCATCCGCTAAATATATGTCATCTACGTTAGGCACGTTGTGATACGTTGTATCATTCATATACACAGACTTAAAGGAATATCCTACTGACCAAACGTTTTGCGATATACTGTTACAAAGGTCTCTGTTTGTATTTTGTGATAGTCGTTTCAAAAAGAATTCGGTAACATTTGTCCATGTAGGATACGGTGCCGTTGTTTTGAAAGTATTGGCAATTCTTGTAAATAATCGTTTCAATCCTTTGTCATTGTTTATCAAGTGACAAGACTGAATTACATCGTCTATAGATTGATTATTAATTAAAGCATTTATTATTTTACCACATTCTGAATCTAATAGTAAAGAGCGTGTAATTCTCTCATTCATTAATAAAGTGGTTTCTTTATACGTTTCTGACTTTTTCATATCGCCAAATAAAGTATAACACACATACATGAAGTTGTTTTTAGTTTGAAATGGAATTAGTGACTGGTTGGAAGTTACGTGTTAACATGGCTTTGTATAACCAAATTAAAGCAGAAAATCTCATGGATACAGTAACGTCGTAAGGAAAATCATCATTCAAACCTACAACTACAGACGATAAAATATGATCCATTTGATTATATATATAAATATTCATTGAAGATGAATGTTTAGACACCCTATAGGGTATTAGTGACAGTGCACATCCTGTAGCTATAGTTTCCAATTCCAAATCGTTTACATTACCTCCTAATTGTATATCTGATAGATAATATAATCCCAAAGAAAAATCAGGAAATTGAAGCGTACTATTTGCTATAGTACGTAATAAACCATTTTTCTTTCTCATGGCCTCTAAACCAACGATGGGGTCTTTTCTAACAACCAGTGCGTTGAATAATTGTGATTTATGTAATAAAGGATGCATAAATAGAGAATGATACAAAGCTAAATATTTAGGGTTTCTTAGTTTGTTACAAAAGGAAGCCAACGCGAAAACACTTGGAAATATGTATGTTGGTAATGTACAAATTAATGCATCATTAGGGTACGCTATTTTTAAGAGTTTACGCAAATGTGATTTAAAGTTCTCATCAAATTCGTTACTTCGTAACAATTCCATAGCTACGTATTTGTCGGCGTCTAACACTACGCATGGTTCTCCACTATTTCTAGGAATAAATACATATTGAATCGTTGGTGGATAATTTACATCTTCTCGCTTTGGAGAGCTCTGTGAATATAACATTATCGCTCCTTTAGTATCATCTGCTTCGAACGTTAGTGTGTCAGATGGATTGTTAAGTACATCTTTGCATCGAATAGTAACCTTAGGACCGCTTTTGTCTATCTGAAATGAATTCTCGAACCAATTTGTAATTAATCCTCCTGGCATTATACAACATCCTTGAAACTTATTTGTAATTTCTCTTAAACGCATCTTTAAACAATCTTCTAAAATCATTTGATTTAGACATTTGTTAAAAAAATTTTCAGCGGTATCTACTTCCCATGGTAAATTATCTTTCGGTGTGTGTGTAATTGCTAATTTATAATCTGCTACACTTCTCCAAAGCTTGATGAAAGGTTCTAGGGAATGCATTTATTATTTTTTTATTAAATCTTATAAACAGAGTGTTCACGATTTGATAATAATGCATCGCAAATAAAGTCCATCATTCTTGTACGTATTGCAGTATCCTTCGCTGTTAATTTATCGGATATCATAAAGGATATACACGTATACATAAAGTCGTATATTTTTTCATACGCCGATGCCTCTAAATTATAATCAATGTAGGTTGCGCACGATTTGTCGTATGAATCAATGCAGTCACTATCGTGTATTTTTTTGGATATTTGAAGTGGTATAGTCGCTTTGAATATTTTTAAAAATTGAATTACAACTTCTTGGACAATTTGTAATATTTCACGTTTTTCATTAATTACATTTCTATAATAATGGAAAAGAGATTCGCCGTCATTTTTATGTAAAATATAATTTAAACAACACGTAGGAACGTCAATTTCAAAAGTAGCGGCACAATGTACATACAATGCAATAGCTAAAATTATATCGTTTATGGCGTATTGACGCAAACTCTTCCCAGTGTATGCATCTGTTAGACTCCGACATTCTCTTGCCAAAACAAAATGACCCTGCAATTCAGTCGAAACCACGGGGAGATTTGAAAAGAAATCTCGTCGTATTTGATATTCATTAGATCTCGTTAAAATATTTTTTTACATTATAATTTGCCTTTTTCTGTGAAATTGTTCTTTTTCAAGGAATTTCCAAAGGATATATGTCATTAAACGTCTCGTTGGATTCATTGGAAAAACTATATACTTGTCGTTGTTCGTAAAAGCTCTAAAAGAGGTAATAGCGGCACATGCTTTTTCTACCTCAGGAAATATCCATCCTTGACCATTTCCGATAAACTGATGAAGTCCATGTTTTGCTGTTTTAGAATCTGGAAAGGTATATGATTCAGTAAAGAAACATGAAACCGAGTTTCCAATTTTACGAGTAGATTGACCAGCTATATATTCGTCGTAATTCTTTTCTATCATTGTTAAAGCAAAATCTTGTAACCATAGAGATTTGACATTACAATAGTTATACATAATGGAATCTTTCAAACATAGCGACGCTCCATATAAAATAGCTTCTTCTTTCGCAAACTTGTCTTGTAATTGATATACCTCTTTAATTTTACGAACTTCATGATCTTTTAACTCTATCCAAATAGTTTGAGCTTCTCCTAAAATAGTGGTTTCGGGATATTGTAACCAATCTGGTAGAAATGTGGCTGGTAAAGAATGCGCAAATGGAACGTATTTTTGATAAAGAAAAATTTCTTCAGTTCTATCCTCGAAAAACAATATATATTTACCGAATGAATTCCCATCACATGAATATATAGCGTTTACGACGGGCTCTCCCCCAATTAAAGCATTGTAAGTCAATTTAGAAAGAACGACACTCCCCATACTATACCACTTATTCACTTCAAAAACAGAACGCCCGTTTCTTTGAATTTCAAGAGGAGAATTTTCGACTAGTGGTGGGTATGGAATAAGTCTAGTATTCACGTGGATCTCATCACCGCGTATAGTAGTATTCCATATAGTATTTTTATCCCGCGGATCTTCTGTGTCTATACATTCTATAGATCGTAACAAACATTGTGCATATAGCGAAACAATTTTCGCTGTATCTCTGGGTACTATTGTCAAATCGAATAGCCTAGGAACGAGTGTGTTAAACTTTGGTAATAAATCATTAAGTATTTTTCTACCTACGCGTTCTACTATGTGGTTGAAATTTTCTTCGCAACCTAATATGTATTCGTGCATATCCACTGTTATTTCATTTATGTTTATAGATTTAACCACACCACTAATTTGATGTTCTTTTATAGCGTTGAATGTTATGTGGCTCAAAATTTTACCAACGTTATCCGATTCCGAAATTGTATCCACACCAATTCGTTTCATGTATTGACTAAGGTGATGTCCTGTTGGATCACAAATTGGAAAACATCTCACAATTACTTCTAAAATTCCTTTCCCCCACACACACGATGTAGCTGATAGATCCACCAAATATTGTAAATCGTCACTCAATGTTTGTCTCAATCTAACATCGTTCATCACTTCCATATAAATTTCTAAAAACGAAGTTCGCTTTGGTTTGAGTGTGCCGCGAGAAGTCTCTTCTTGATAATTTGATCCTTCCTTAAAAGTCTTCTTTGGTGTATCAGACGAACAATAATATATGAGTAACAAACGTTCTGATATAGACATTTTTCCAAATATGCGATTAGAAGCTTTATTTCCATCGGCCGTACAGATTGCTTCTTTATCCGGTGGATATGAATTGTATGACGGTGTAGTGTGTAATGGTGTTAGTGCATATGCCAGTGAGAAATCGTCTGATAATATGTATTGACACAATGTTTGTTTGGTATTAATCGGAGCGTTATTATGTTTCTTTATAAAAAATTCAGTTGCATTCACCCACGTGGGGTATGTGCCAGCGCTTATAAATAAATTTAAAATTTCTGTAAATAACGCCTTTAAACCTGTAATAGACTTTATTGTTGTTGTACTCTTATTTATTATTTCTTCAACGTGAGGACTTGTCACAGGTAAAGTTGGAAAGTTAGTTACAGTATTCATTAAAGTGTAACATTCTGCATTAATTTTGAAAGCGTGAATAATTCGAGTTTTCATTTTAGATAATGTTTCGGAATAAGATTCCGTTATCTCCATTTCTCGAAACAATGTCTTGCACACGTACAACATTACTTTCCTACAACTTTGAAGCGATTTCATAATTGCTCTGTGTTTATTCGTGATCATTGCTTTATACAACCATATTAACGCAGTATATCGAAGTGCTAGAGATGATGTCATAGCATATGTATTTCCCAATCCAACGATCAATGGAGCAATACTCTTTTCAATATCATCAAAGGGTACTTTGAAAGTTAACATGGGTGACGTTGCAGGTACATTGTGTGAGATTATGGATAATGCAGAACCCATTGCAATTTGTTCCAATTTCTCTTCGTCATCTACATTCGTAACATTGCCAGAAGAATGGAGGAATAATCCAACACCGAATATTCCAAAAACATTTTCTATGTTTTCCTGAAATTTATTTAACGTTGCCAATAACCCGTATGCTTCTCTAAAAGATGCAACGCCTAGTATAGGATCTGCCTCCTTCACAAATTCATCTAATAAATAACAATCGTGCAAGAAAGGATGGGCAAAAAGAGAGTCGTACAATTCTGCGTACGTTGCACTATTTAAAACTTGTCTAAACTTGTGCAAACGTTTTACACTGGGAAATATATACATTGGGCTAGCTGAATTGGACATACCCCCCGCATATATTACCTCCAACGTCTTCGATAAAGCACGAACGACGTCAAACTGTACGGACAAATTGTTTAAAGTTTCTATAGCAACGTATTTATCAGCATCTATTGTCTCGCAATGTGTTAGTGGATTTTTGGGAAGTAAAACGATCTGAACGGTTGGTGGATTTTTTAGGTCTGCTCTATCGGTATTAACGGTACCCTTTGTAGTTTGTGCTTGGAATAGAGCTGTACAAGTTTCGTTAGTAATTCCAAAAAATATATCGTTAGTATGATCATTATATACATCTTTACATATCAAATATTTAACTTCTGATGTTAACGGATTTCGTTCGTTGACGAAGAAACAATTATTCCACCAGACTGTATCAAATCCACCGTGAACGATGCCACAACCAATGTATCTGTTGTAGATTTCTTTTTCATCTAAATTTAAACATCGAGATATAGTTGCTATGTTCAAAGATCTCAAAAACTTGTGTTGATTTTTTAACACATCGCTCCATTTCAATTTTATCTCTGTATGAAACGCGGTAATGTCGTAATTATCACCGCTTTTCCAATAATTGAACAATGGCTGCAACGTGACCATACTTTTTTATTTACCACTCCAACATATCTTTCAATTCCAATCTAGACATTTTGATAATACATTCATTTTCACAGTTGACGGGATCGCACTTGTCGTGCTTTACATTTTCGTATTTAATCTTAAGTGTTCTTGCAGCTTCTTTCCGAGTGAAGAAATACTTGCAGTCTTGATTGGTACAGGAAATGTCACAGGCGCGCGTAACACCAACACATTGCTTACATATATTTAAAAAATCTAAAACACGTCGAGCATGTGTCCTGATCCCATCGTCGACGCCATTCTGTACATTTCCATCGCCGCATTCCTTCACGCTGCAGGCGTCACATTCGTTGGCATCGACAGCGCCATTTTCAAGAAGACGGCGACAAGTAGTGCATCTCTTCTTCCTGACGACAAACTTGGAAAGAGGCGCGGACACTTCCAAAGACGGATGATAGCCGATACTATCGCACTTTCCGAAGATCCTTCGTGTCGCCTCACTTTCGCTACAATTCAAAGCCACGGTAAAAATTCTCAATAAAGGTGGTTTTAACATATGCAAGTAGTGTTGGTAGTCAATTTCTTCGTCTGTGGAATTCAAAAGATACGATGGATCTTCGGCACGATGAGCCGCTTTAACCTTGTTATTGGATATCTTTTGCGCGTCTTTTAAACAATGTGCTTGAAGCGGGGTGAAAGTTTTCATTACGAATTGGACACGTTCACCGCCGCGAGGTTCTGTACCTGGAGCCCGTTGCGCTATTTTTTTAACGACTTCGACGTGTGGCATGCTTACGGCATATTCTTTTCTGCTCAAGGCTCTCGTCATTAATAGTTTATCTATTGGAACGCTTTTCGTAGACAACTGAAAAGCGGACTCCTTGGCGTACAACACTGCACTTTCCAGATCGTTTCGTTCTACAATTAAATTTATGCATTCCGACACCACTTCCGATACATATTTACACGTATCCCTACGAACGTTTTCTAATCCTTTACAGTCTATTTTTGGAGGAGTATTCATATCGACGAACATGCGTCCCGCATATCGTTTTTTAGTAAACAGTATATATGGCATGTATACCTTTTCAAATTCCAATTCGACGGGGCGAATGTAATGCTTATTTATCCATTTGGCGAGCTGTTCACCCCATTTCAAAGCAGTTTGTACAGACGTATCTGCAGGTGTTTTTACCATCACGGAATCTGTATCTCCATATATCACCTCTAAACCGTGCGGTAACTCGCCAATGTTTCGATCGCCATCACGAAATTCCTTTTGAAATTGATCAACGTACAATTTAGTTCGATTAATTAATTTTCGCCCAAAAGCAGTAATGCTTCTCGATACGTATACGCACGATAACATACCCCTCTCTAAAGCACCAGTGAAGCCATACATTGCATTAGCAGTACACTTTATAGCCAATTGTTGATTATTTAACAACATTTTCACAAATGGATCGTCCTCTTTGGCAATTTGTCGTCGGATTTCTCTACGAGCATCAAGTAATTTCACAATCACTTTTGGCATAATACCTAGACGGACATTTTTAGTCACGAAACGATCTCCAGTTGGTGAAATGATCTCCTCCTCCAAAAATTCATCTTCTCCATCGTTATCGAAAGATTTACTGGAACCACCACCACCAGTAGCTATATTTGCGTTTTGCTTTTTTACATCAAAATCGTCTATACGACGTTGTCCGTGAATAGTCTTAAACTTTTTCTTTGCAGGCGTTTTTTTGGGTTTGCTATATTCCAACACTTCGCTTGGCCTCTTACAATTAAAAATTGTCAATTGTCTTAAAGTAGTGGTCTCCTTTTTTGGTTTCACAACAACCTTTGGTTTATAATGGTATACCATTTCGGCCACCGACAACTGTAATTTAACTGTTGTGAAACACAAGTTATATGCGATAATTATAGATGGATACAGAGATGCAAAATCCAAAGTCATTACTGGACTTCTGTAAAGACCTGTCGTGGGTTCAACTACTGTGGCTCCCTGAAAAGCTTCGTCTTGTTTAAAAGGAATGAAGGAAGGAAAAATCATGTTTCTATCGCGCGCCTCGTGTAATATCAAAGAAAAGGCGCGTATTTGTTGTCCCTTACCGTGAACGTAACGTAACGGTATCATATTGACTTTCGCGAATTGAATGGTAGACACCATCGTCGATAATTTTGTCATCAACTTAAGTGGAAGCATAGTATCTTGAACGCAATATGTAGCCATTTTTTTTCGATCATCGGCAGTGCCTTTGTATAAACGAAACATATCTTTATACTTTACATTTTCCTTCGTTTCTCCACCCAAGAAGTGTGACGAAACCGCATCTAACGTTTCTCTACGCAATTTAAATTGCCCTGCCTGAATAACCTTGTACATGTCTATAATTACTCTCGAAGGAGTTGTCAAAGCTATTTCGTCAGTCCAAGATCTCCCACCTCCTTCCTTCTATACTCTGGCCTTCCAATCGGGATCTGCCAATTCCTCGTTACTAGGAGGTTTAAAAAACTCAATTTGACCAGTCGGTTTCTTCGTGTAACACGACCATCTACTCCATTTGCGACGACTAAAAGTCTGGTTAATTTTTAACATCGCCATTCTATGCATAATGTATGGAAAATCAAATCCAATAATATTGTATCCCGTTATGACGTCTGGATTACGTTTAGCTATGTAATTATTAAATTCCAATAACAACTCGCTCTCGTTAGTACAACAAACTACCTCTACACCAGGAATATCACTACACGAACCAATTGTAAATATAGTTTTGCATATGTTTACATTAGGTTTGGAATAATCTTCGAGTTTGGTCCGACACATGTCGCGAACCGTAACGCAAGCTATTTGAATGATTGGGTCCCCCGCTTTTGCCATTGGGAAGTTTGCATCATCGTCACTGATACATTCTATATCGAAACACATCGTAGTGATTTGTGGTACGCTTAGTTGTGCGACTAAACCGAAATTGTCGAAATCGAAATTGTCTGCATATATTTTTCTCAAAGCCTGAACGGACGAAAAACTAGTTTTCCGATAACCTTGTTCATATAATAACTGCGCGAATGTACACATGACTACATTCGTTTCCAAATCCACGTAATATATCGAATTTTTTAATTGGTTGTCTTCGACGACACAAGTAGATAACCAGGAAACTCTCGTTTTAATGGGAGTACCACCGATCCAAGGACCCTTTGTGAGCACGAGATTATAGCGCGTTGGGCCGAAGTGTGTGAGGGGTCGTATATCAGAATCGTTGATAACGTCTTCGATACACGTAGCGTTATCGTACATATATCTCAAAAGTTTCTTGATCACAAGTTCTTCGTTTTCAAAATCCCAATGCAATAAAAACATTTTCGAAGCCAAAGTCTCGTTAAAAACGGTTTCGTCGGGTACAGGGCGCACTTGTTTAACATCCCAAACATTATATTCTTCGGTACAAGTAGAATAACAAGTACTTTCTCCAGACGAACGTACCGTCTTGGCATTGTCAAACTGTAACCACGACGTAGCCTTTATATCAACCATAAACTGAATAATACTATCAATTTGTCCAGAAAAGGTCGTTCCTATAGGCATGGAACGTACCAAACTTCGTAATACTTTAGGATCGGCTATGCGAACCCTTATAAAAGTTTCTTCGTCGTTATGATAACCATATCCGTTACACTTGGAAACGACTTCGTACTTGACGTCAGAGACAGACTTGGAAGACGCCTTAAATCCTTGAATACGAGCGTCCACAATATTGTTTTGCACAAAGTTGATGTCTAGATGACACGGATCTCCCCTGTAAATCGAACTTTCGCTTACAGCCACGTAGACGTACGCAGACCAGTTGACATAGATGACACACGGTTGGAAATTTGGATAACTCTTCCCGTAGATGGCCATTCTAGATTTACCAGTCTTGTTGTTGTAGATATACTCGTAATCAAGTGCATAGAGATACATGGTGTTCTTCGTGCATCGAATCGAAACGATGTGTGTCGAAAGTGGTCTTCAAAATGACCTTATATATATGCGCGTGTGTATATATGCGATGAAAAAAGTGTGTGTAAATTCTATTTAGAAACAAAAACAAATCGAATTGACGCTACGATATATACGACTGTTGTGTTTACAAAATATTGCATTATATATACTAGACAAAAAAGGAACTATGAGTGACATTTTTCCAAAAGATACTCGAATTGAAGATATTGCATATGCAGAGACTGATAGTGGAGTTAAATTTACAAAAGATGTCGATCCAGCGAAACATTACGTTACACAAACCATACGTACGACAGATCACGCGACTGGCATGATATTAGAACATGACGAAACAGTCGTAAATTTTAGTACGTACAATTATCCACGGGCACGCAATACAGAAGTAAAAGCCGCTGCTCAACGTTTTGGAATTGTGTTTTCAAACAACCAAACAATGAGTGGATACTCGTTCGTTGAAAAAGTAATTGCGCGAATGATGTCTGAATTGAGCGAATTTTTTACAAATGGAGAAGAAGTTGTATACATTAAAGGCATATTACGAGACGTTTTGCCTAATGCAGTTAAGCCGAAATCTAACAATTTTAATGTTCTATTTGAATATTTTCTAGGTTGGTTATATAAGGTTCGAATGGTTCCCGATGTTGTATCCGCCTGTAGTACAAACTGTCCTCTCGAATTGGAACCTGCAAATAACATAAATTGTACTGATGCCACTTCTCAATTACATTCCATGAAATATAATGATCAATTATCCACACTCACTGTAACAGCCATGTATCCAACATACTCGAAACACCTGTACATTCCTACCGTTTTATTACTTGGCGAACTTCTATCTTATAATAAACCAATAAATTTAGATATGGCATGCACTGCGGTAAAACGCAAGTTGAATAGTTCGTATAATCCACAAATTAATTTACGCCAAGCAATTGATGGACTGAATAGCTTACTTCAGGCGTACGATCTTTTGGACTCGGATGATTCTGCAGCGTTCGTGACTAGAGTGAACGTTACCGCTAAACGCCGTAACATCGTTTTTCAAGCAAACCTTGCAACAGCTGCGCAAATTAAAGAATGTAATAGCACAAACATGCGTCGTTTCAACCTTGTAAAACCTTTATTAGGTGCTTACGGTGATTCGTTGCAACCCATGGATTTGTTTAAAATACACATTACGGATAAATTAAAAGTTGACACGCTTACATCTATTTTGACTACACATGCAGCAACTTCGACAATGTGTTTGCGGTGTCTCGAACGCCTCTTAGCATTAACGCCAACCAAACAAGAACTTAACAATCCATACAACGATGAAATGTTTTTGACAAGGGCAGAGATTGCGGTTGGAAAAGGAATTTATCCGTACGGAACAAAGTACCATCCCGTTGGCATATTATCAATAGAGAAACGTTATTTGTGTTTAGCTTTCTTAGAAGCGTACTACGTTGCTAAATTTATGGATTATATACGTTTTAATGCATTAATAGCTAACGAACACAACATGTACGTTCTACACACCGTATTTTATAGAATTCCGCGTTATTTTAAGCATATTATCGAACATGGAAAAACAACGAGGAGCGCCGATGGAAAATTTAAAACAATGTGTAACGTTGTGCGCTTATTAATAGAGGCTAACCAACAAATGACAGGTTGTTTAAATCGCGAAATGCAAGACGATGACGAGATTATCGACGGTATGGTACACTTTTGTTACGGTACGTTAGCGTGTCAAAAAAGCGCCTTTCCACGAATATATAATCCTGTTGAAACGTATTTATTATACATGAATATATTAAGGTCGTCGGTACAAATCGAAATCGTCGCAGGTATGACTGCAGGTAATTTTGTAGAGCGTTTCGCCGCTGCAATAGATATGGAAGACGAATACTTAGTGATTGACACGTTGTTACCAGGTGTGGATCCAGACTTTGTGTTTGACGTCGCTCCAAATAGAATTCGCTTAAATAAGCGCTTCATTTGATTTAAAACATTATATTTTTAATAAAGATACAAAAAATATAAATGTATAATTTACCAATACTAACTACACAAGACGTACAAAAAATCGTAAAGGTACTAAAAATAAGCTCCGATAAAATACGTTCTGGTAAAGACTTATACGACGCAATTTATAAATCTCTTTACGCTTATATCAATTTGCAATATGCAAATGGAAAGACGGACGGTGTTAAAATTTTATACAATAAGGTATTTTATCCATTTCGAAAAAAACTAAAAATATTCAAAAGAGACGATTTTCAAGGGGCTTGGAATATATTTTTTACTTGGATTCAGCCCATTGTATTTTTACCAGACAATTATAAAAAATACGCTTACGGTGAGTGGATCTTTAAGGACTCCGAACATGGAGGCTCTTGGACATTTCGAGAAAATGTCGAAAAAGACAACCAGAGAGTCCTGCGAGTACATCGAACAGAATCCGTCTTAACGGATGTATTGGGTCATGGTCTTAAGCCACGTAATAAACAAATTGCATCGGACGAAATGCGTGATGTACTCGAATTTCAACATCTAACATCCGAATCCGTAAAGAGTAAGGAACATTACACTCGATTAGGCATCGAGGTTGTGAATAGTCCACATTACCAAATAATGCGATACGCACATAGACAGGACAATCGTATTAATTTACAATACGCACATACGGGTTTATATCATATTGATCCTTTGCCATGCCCCGTTACCAAAAGCCCTAAATGGATTAACGTACGAACTTGTCTTCTTTTACACAGTGTGTTATCCGAAGTAAATCCATATTTATTGGATGTGAGTATACATAAACAAGGAAAAATAATCGACGAGTCTGTATTTTTAAGCATTTTATTGCATTATGTTAATTGTCTTATACATGCACACGACGTTTGTGACATGGACGATACTCAAGAGTTTGCATACAGCGTCCAACACTCTGCCTGTAAACACAACCTTTTATTACAAGCTCCATTTCTCACAGATTCCGAAATCATTAAAGGATCAAGCTCCAGCCCAATGTTTCGGTATTTTTTAATCAAGTGTATTTTAGGCGACCAAACTTTGGAATACAACCAGTTATGGAACTACGTTATAACTAATGAATTAAGAATAATGAAAATTTCTGATATAATTTTATCCAACGCGATAAGTAGCATCTGGGTTTTGAGAACTCTTCAGTCACTGACACGAGTCGTGAATACTGGTCGGTCTCGTGACGTAACCATTTTCTCTTTAATCGCATCCGTTGTAGAAAGTGGAGTGTATCCAATTGGTGAACCTAGATCAATGTCTATTTATAAACGATACATGTGTTTAGTATTATGTCAAATATATTTAGAAACGCAATTTACAGGTATCGTAAAATACAATCGTTTCCACGATTATCCTAAATTCGTATGGATGTCTCTATTTTATAACAAACCCGTCATGTATAAACGTCTCGTCGATATGGCCACCGTTCCCGACTGTGAAATAAAATACCTACCACTGATACCCATACTCACCTTGCTTAAGGAGTGTCTAGATTGGGTGTCTGTTACCGACATATTTAATAATACTACACAGGCTTTGTATCCATTGCGAGTGAATCCTGTAAAGGGTTTAAGACGCTTATTAGATTCTTTGCCATCGACACTAAAGATATATCCCGTATACTCTCCAGATTTTATACACAATTATGGAATACATATGAATTATCCAATTAATCGTAACAATCCGTTACACGATGATATAGTCTACGTATATTCGATACACAATACAGAAATTACACAGAATTTTATTCGTATAAATTCCGCTACAGAAGAAGGTTATAGTTGTGTGGGCGATGTTATAACATTAGAAGAAGACGAGAAAGTTCGTATTATGTGTAAAAATTCTACAACTACAAATATTAAACCATATAAAGAGTCAAAATCACCTCCTGTCGGTGATCTCATTGGATCTAAGGAAAAATCACAAAAGCCATTGCAAGGAGTATTTTCTTCGACGATACCTCGGCCTAATTTATCTACGTATGCACCACGCCATAAAACTACATCATCTCACAACCTAATTAATTTGAATGACGAAATTGTAGAACAACAACAACAGCGACAAAGGGATTGCGATACGAGTAATGTTAATTATCACGTCAATCCATCTACGAACATACCACGCCCTAGAAATGCATCCAACGACTTAATAGATTTTAATGATGACATTGTAGAACAACGGCAGGTCAACATAGATAGAGATATCACCGAAAGATCGTTTCAACCACCTCAGCGTAGACAAAGAGTGTGGCACAACGCGATTATACCAACAGGTCCAGGAGAAACGTTTCCACCACATCAGGGTAGGCAAAGAGTATGGCAAGATCCACCAGTTATAAGAGAAGCACCATCTCAGCGTAGACAAAGAGTGTGGCAAAATCCACAAGTTATAAGAGAAGCACCATCTCAGCATAGACAAAGAGTGTGGCAAAATCCACAAGTTATAAGAGAAGAACCATCTCAGCATAGACAAAGAGTATGGCAACCAAACGTGGTTATACCAACAGCTCCAGTACTCCAACCAGAAAACGAAGAGACTCGTGAACCAATACCACACTCAACTTATGCGACAATGCCACCAGCACATTCTCATACAATGTATAGATCAATTTATCCTACTTTAGACCTTAGTCAACAATCGCATTCGGAGCAACCTGCTCACTAAAAAAGGAAAGTAATAGCTAATTTTATGTGTCACGTTTCGTAATAATAAATAAATATTATTTAATAGATCTACTGCGATTTTTTAACGTAAAAAAAATGAATGTCGCAGAAAAGAACGATTCACATTTCGTAAATGTGACGGTAAGTGATGTCCAACACTTGGCTAAACTGTTTGACGTCGATATACCAATACGTCGTATTACATTATCGGGGAAGGTTTTTGTTAAAACAATTATGCAGCGTTTAGACGCAGTCGATTTTGAAAATAATAGAAATGAAATACAGGACGAGTATGTGAATATGCTTCGTACAAAATTTCCTCAGATATGTATTCATGAAGACAACAAAGTATTTCTATCCAAATTTCGCGAATGGATTTCTCCATTGGAGGATATCGACAATTTAATGCAGTATATACATTTACCTACATATACTATTGTACAGTTCGCTAAACAACCAGGCTTTAACAATAATATTGTTTTAATAAATAAAGATTACATAGTCAATGCAGAGACTGCTGCTTATGCCAAAGCTTTCGTTGCAGTTGAACCAGTACCTAGATGTTTTCTGTATGTAAAATCAATAAGTGTAGAAAATTTACATTTATTAATTGAAATCTTGCCGTCGTACTTTATGTTGGAAAAACATTTCGTCAACGTACTTCGAAGACATTGGAACGAGTACACAATTAATGTCAATGGACTTATATCTGAATTTATTGATGCTAATAACAACAGCGTCGTAGATAGGCCATTTACCGTGGACGATGCAATAATCAGAACGCATAATTTATTATCATTATATAGAGTAACGTACGCAACCATACCAGTAACAGTAGCATTGCATCGATTGAATTGTGTTTTACAAGGTTTTGATATGATGGATGTGGACGATGTAACACTCGATAAACGTATTTCGTGGCTTGAATCTAAATATGGAATTACAATGAAGTACGCTGTTTATAATTTTAAATATGATGTTTTGACACGTAGTGATCGACATTTTCTTTTAGAGAATCATACAAGAGGTCAAATCGCTCTGGTTTTACTATCTTTAAACCAAACGAGTGTGAAAGACATATATAACGTTTATGTCACATCTGATCTGAGGGTAGTATCACTGACAGATGTTTTACGATCCCATGCATGCGACGGTCTTTTTCTTTTAACGACTCTTGCAAATTTAACGCGGACGCACATATATATCGACAGTGCAAATAAATATACTAATGCAAAAGTATTCAGCGATGCGCTGCATGTAATTATGCGTGGCATGTATCCATATGAAATATCTCGTAGAACAGAATATATGACTGTTAATAAACGAATATTAGCTCTACGCGTGGCTCATATGTACATAGAATCAAAATTTTTGTCATATTTGAAATTTGGGCAAATTTTAAAAGACAATGATACGTTGATTTTTTGGCACTCTCTTTTCAAATGTACACCTATATTGTTAAAACGAACTCTTTTGTCCATAAAAAACGGAAACGAAGGTTTGAATCATGTACCCTTAATGTTATTATGTAGTGCACTGGCTGAGTTGAATATTTATAACTTACCAGAGAAACAACTCAAGATACACATATCCGAAGCGCAAGTGGCCTTTAGAGATCAGAGCAATATGTATTTGAGTAAAGCAGACGCAACAGTTTTTTTCTTGTTAAAAATGTTTAATCAAACTCTTAACATGCAATTATACAATTATAATGTACAACTTATTTGTAATCGTTTACAAGAGATTCTTAATGTAAATCCTGTAAATGTAATGCCCATTTTTATACGTAATATAACTAATAATAACATTGCAGCGCTATATAGAGTCTTGACAAGATTATTAGCCTTAAAATTAGGTCGTATCCCCCCTTCACTAAACAATATAGGTCGAAACGTACAATTTGTAAGACAAGAACCACAGCAATTAGTAATACACCATCCAAGACCATTAATAGTACATCAACTACCACCACCACCACCACCAGTAGTAGTAATGGTGCAACGCAACGAACCACCTGTAATGCAACAACAAGAACCACCTGTAGTGCAACAACAAGAACCACCTGTAATGCAACAACCACCACCTATAGTGCAACAACAACCACCACCTGAAGTACACCAGCCACAACCCAGAAGAACAATAGGAGCAAAACGACGATTTTTACCATCAAGACAACAACAAACACAAGGAAGGGTGACGTCTTTGGGTATTAGTGTTCTTAATTTTTTGGGGATTGGGCGACAACAACAACAACAACAACAACAACAACCATTACAACGCAAAAAAACAGTACGAGCGGAACGTCGACCTTTACCGCCATTACAAGAACGACAGAGAAAACAAGTGGTGCCTGAAAGGATGGGTATATTTAATTTCTTTGGATTACAACGACCGCGTTTGCAAAGACAACCTTTACCTCCATTGACACAACGACAAAGAAACGTTTGTCAGATGGACGTGGTAAGGCGTGATAATAGGTCTTGGGGTGCGAGTATTCTACAATTCTTGGGATTGCAATAAAAGAGCAGCTATATATAAGGGGGCGAAGCTCCTTATTAAGCCGTGGCTCTGTCCCTCCTTTCAAGTTGCGTAAGCGTAATAGCATTCATGTATATAATTGATTGAATAAAACGTGGAACCAATAATTTGAGATATGTTTATCTTTATAATATTCAAGTAAAACACATCGTATGATTTATTTCAAAAATGTAAATTCTTTATTATTTAAAAACACGCATTTCTATATTGAATAAAATATATTAATGTACAATATTCGAATCATTACAAAGAAATGGAAACTACTGCTAGTACTGAGGCGTTTCCAGTTATCACTGTAAATGATATTCGTAAACTAGCATTATTTTTTAATGTTAACGTAACGGATCAAAGAATTTGTTTACATGGTGATGTTTTTGTAAATGCTATTATTACAAGATTGCATCTCGATATTAATGATTACACGCACAATGGTACCACAGACGAATATGTAAAAGAATTGTATGCATTATTTCCAAAATTAACAATTTCTGATGTAAAGTCTCAAGATGAAATGGTTTATCGTTTTATTCGATGGATATCACATTTACGAGATGTAGATAACTTAATGACCTATCTAAATTTACCAGAGTCAATTGTTGTACGAAATACACTCTCTTTTAAGAAAAATGTATCGGTGGTTGTGAATAAAAAATTTATTAAACGTTTACAGAATACGAAGTGGAATGTATTTGAAAGTGCATTCGTAGGCGTAGAACCGATTGCGAACACATTCGCTTGCAAGGCAAAATCTCTAACAATTCAATGTCTACACGTCATCATCGACATCTTACCTGCATATTTTTTGAAAGAGAAATATTTTATTAATTACATTAAGCCACGATGGAACGACATGAGACCTACAAATACAATGTTGCAAAAAGAATACGATGCGATATTAAACGAATTTATGGAAGCACATAATAACGCACGTTTTGGATACGATAAACAAGATATTTTAAACGATGCACTTTCTAAAAGTAATAATTTCTTCCATTTATATCGCATAAACGATTCGTCTATACCAATACGTGCAGCCATTCAACGTGTTAATGCTCTTCTACAAGGTTTTGATATATTAGATATTGATAGCAAAGAGTTGGATAGGAAGGTTTCATTACTGGAGTCCAAATATCACGTGTCTATGAAATATGTAGTCTTTAATTCGGAACATGACACTTTACAAGATTCTTATAAACAATCGATTTTGAAACTTCACACGAATGCTTCATTGGTTTTAACACTAATGTCTTTGGCAAGAATAAGTGTAACAGATATGTATAACATATATATTAATCCAGATTTACGTATAACATCGTTATCAGATATGTTAAGCTCTCACGCATGTGATGGAATCGGTCTATTAGAAATATTATCTAATTTAACCAGAACACAACGATCTCCTTATGGTCCTACGTATTCTAACGAAAGTATTTTTAAAGATTGTTTGGATGTTATTTTGAAAGGTACATATCCTATTCATATCACAGGCCACATTGAGTATATGTCTATTAAGAAGAGGTTTTTAAGTCTTCGTATAGCACAGATGTACGTAGAACTTCAATTTACTGCATATTTAAAGTATGCACGCATTATAGATAATTGTACAAATTTTATGATGTTTTGGCATTCTTTATTCAATACAACACCGTCTTTATTAAAACGTTTACTTTTATCCTTTGTCCAACATAACGATGGTTTACAACACATTCCAATTTATTTATTAGCCGATGCATTACTTGAACTAAGACATCGTCGTGAAATTGAAAATCGTAAAGTACAATTTGAATTTGGACATGTCTTGTTTACAGGAAACATTGTAACCACTTTTTTATACAAACCATATGTGGTTGTGAAGAACTATTTATCAATGTTTCATACAATTCTTGGTTTAAATTTAGATAATTTTAACATGCAGAGGATTTTCATGTATTTGCATTTGCGAACCAGAGTAGATCCATTTCAAGTATTACAAAAACATGTTCGCAATGGCAACATAAACCAATTGTACAGAGAATTTACAGAATTATTAGAAAACGAACCTAACAATGTAAACCCCCAATTTATAAACGCTATTAGAAGAGGTATAGAACAGCCTCAAGTGTTGCACAACAACTACCAACCACGTTTGGTTGGAGTTCCACATCCGCCTCCAGGTGGGGGTGGGCGTGGAGGTGGTCGGCCTAGGGGAGGTTTGAATGGTAGGGGTGGACAACGAAATGTTCAAATTACTCCACCAAACCCTGTTAGAAGGGGGGGTAGGGCACCATTAGCAAATACGCTTACAAATACCCCTCCCCCATTACCGACGAGACCACCACCACCACCACCACCAGCAGCAGCAACAACAACAGCGTCATCATCTGCTCCAACACAAACGTCACAGGTCCCACCAATTCAAATAATCTCACCACAACCTCCTTCGGAACAGCAATCAGGTGAGGAAAGCGGTAGTGATGAGCTAAATATTAGTAATAGATTGTCCGTTTCACAAGACGAAGCATCTGACGACGAAAACGTAGGTAGTTTTTGGCAACGTTTATTTTCATATCCTTCTAGACGAAGACGCGAACAAAAATTAAATCAGATAAGACAACAGAATGAAATTGAAAGAAATCAACGAATAGCAGAGCGTGAACTTGAACGACAAAACGCAGCTGGTGACCAATTAATATTAGATAAAATCAAGTGTGAAGAAGAACTAGAACGTTTACGCATGGAGTATCGAAATAATTATATAGAAATAAACGAGTCTGAAAAACGGCACGAAGAAATTTCCGAAGAGAAACGTAATGCTGCAAACGAAGCATATAAACGTATGCTACAAGTAAGGCGTCAATTGAGTAGGCTAGAAGAAATTTTAGCAGAAAGACGTTGCAGAACATAATATTATACATAAACCCATTTTTTGGTAATTTGACAAAATTTTAAGATGGCCTCTGCATTGAATAAAGAGTATATACAACAAAAGTAATTATTGAGAAATTGCATAAAAACCTTGTTACAAACTTGTGAACAACATTTTAGCAAAGGTACAACGCACAATGAACGTAATTGAGAGACAAGAAATAAGTAAACTATTTTGTAATAAAATCAAATGTGAAAAAGAATTGGAACGCGAACGTAAGAAGTATTGGACTAAGTATATAGATCGTAAAAAAAGTAACGCAATAATCTCTTATGAACAACGTAATGATGCAAACGAGACATATAAACGTATGGTACAATTAAGACGTCAACTTACTAGGCTAGAAGACCTTTTGGCATAAATACGTTGTAGAACGTAACGCAATACAAAACAAACGTAAACAAGTTTACATCGACTTAACGAAACTCATCCATATGTAGCTATAGCACATCTTTCACATAGATAATTTGATTGTAGAAAACAATTAATGTCATGTACAACAAAAACACTTGTGCGGTGTTGTGAAAATAAAAAAACATGGCAACCAAACAGGTACGATTCAATGGTACCGATTTTGCAGAATTTCCAGATGTAAAGGTTCAGGACATACGTAATCTTGCGGAATTTTTTGACATAGATATATCACCTCGAAGACTAACTTTATCCGGTACAGTTTTTTCAAAAACTATTGGTGAACGTATTGTACTTCACATGTCCGAATTACCGGATCATAACGAAGAGAAGGCTTATGTAAACAAACTTTACGAAAACGTACCGAGTTTACAGCGACCTAACGAAAGTGACCCAGGTGCATCTATAACACACTTTTCAAAATGGTTGACTACCTTGCATAATATAGATAATTTGATGCCATATTTAAACCTACATGGTTCTAGCATTGTACAATCTTCCGAAGTTAACGTCGATAAACGATTATCCTTAATTGTAAACAAAGTCGAACCTGTAATACCGAAACACGATGAACACGAAAAGGCATTTGTAGGTGTGGAACCTCTTCCGGTAAACTTGTCCTTTAAGCAAAGGTGTTTATCTATTGAAGCTCTTCAAGCACTCATCGAGATATTACCATCCTACTTTTTACATGAAAAACATTTCATCAACTGTATTAAAGATAAAATCACTGTAATGGATAAAACGCGAACATCGGAATGTGAAGGAATAATTGGGGAATTTATAGATGCGACTCACAATAGTGTGAAGGAAAATTTAACTACAGATCGTGCGTTTCTAAATGACGTTTTTACTAGAACGAATAATTTATTTAAATTATATAAACTATCCCAATCTACTGTACCGGTACCGGCAGCGGTGCAACGAATAAACATGCTCTTTCAAGGATTTGACATGGTCGATATGTTAAATGTAGATTTGCTGCAAAATATGAATGATATAGAAGTTAGATATGGCACTGCTCTTCCCATAGTTTTTCATACTCGCATCGACGACGATTTGTTAGAGCCAAATTATAACGCTTTACTTATAGACAATCACGAACGGGCCAAGATAGCATTACTATTACTATCGTTACATAAAACGAGTGTATCAGATGTATATAATATTTACATAACACCAGAGCTCAGGGTGACGACAATTTCAGATGTTTTAGGTTCTCATGCTTGTGATAGCGTCTTTCTTTTACAATTGTTGATGAACTTGACACGGACAGAGACTTATTTCTTGAAGAGCAATTATTCGAATCAAGATGCTTTTATAAAGGCTTTACAAGTAGTAATACACGGAAAATATCCAGTACACACACCGTTTGTTCAAGAATACGTTTCTTTTAAAAAGCGAATGACGGCATTACGCGTGGCACAAATGTACGTCGAATCTCAATTTACAGCCTATTTAAAGTACAATAGGATTGATATTAAGAATCAGAAAATACTTTTTTGGCATTCGTTATTCTTTAGAAATCCAATATTATTCAAAAGACTACTCATGGCACTAAAAAATGACAAATACGGTTTGGGGTATCTTCCTATTAATTTATTGTCACATGCATTGGCACAACTGCGTGATAAGGAAAGGAATACCCGTTTACATTCGACAAGATATAATGAAATCATTCGCATTAGGGGACGTAGCACAAAAATGTATTTGCGTTCGCCATTGAAAATGATTCATATTTATTTAGACGCATTTAAAGAGGTTTTAAACGTATATATTGGTGGTTACAGCTTACGCAATATATTTATACAATTGCAAGAAATCTGTGGGGTGGATGCTATTAGAATAATTGATTTTCAACTCGGACAGTTCCCAAGTAATGCCGTATTGCTACATTATAGCAGACTGATTAACCCTCGTCGTAATAATAATTAAATTGAAGGAACTGTTTTTTTTTAGAAATCGGCATGCCTTGCATCTATTATTCCCCACATTGAATTTTTAGACAATGTACTGAAGTAGTTCGTTCCTTCAACACGCGGTCCACCAACGTCCAATTCAGTTTCGTTACCTGTATGTGCATCTTCATCGTCCCCGAATGATCCATATACAAAATCGGACATTACAATGGGTGGTTTTAAACACGTTTTCCTAGCATCAACGGTGTCCGATTCGTCAGGTCCAGTAAATATATTTTCAGGTGTTAGATACGTTTTGAGATCGTCGATATTTAACATTCCTTCAATTGGAGATATTTCAATTTTGTTTCTTTCATTTATAAAGAGATGGACTAACTGGAAATCGTTTAGCGTTATGCAGTGATCTCTCTTAGTCAAATTGAAATTACACTTTACCAACATATTACAAAATCCATTTATAGTTTTACAAGCATTATCTACTTTACTAAAAGCCTCCGATCCAGCCCCTTTGTATTTACCAAACATTAAACTTCGTATATTAGACTTCATCACAGACATCTCTTGAACTACGATTGCACGCAAAGAATCCACGTCGATACACTCACCCTTCCTATATACGATCAACCTCTTCAACAATATCAGCATGACATCTTTATAACTTCCAAATAAATTAACATTTTCTCGTACGTAATTCTCCATTTTTTGAACTGTTACTGCTGTATTCTTTAGACCCCCCCATTGACGGTACGATATGATCTAAAAGGATTCGACACAATGCAGCCCCCATTTTCTCCTGAACCTCTTCGTGCATGAGTAGTGGATTACCAAGGAGCCACCTCTGTGTAGGAATTCCTTTCGGTACCTCAATGATGTCACAAGGAAATCCTTGGTTTAAAATATTATTGTAATGCATAGGAAATAAAGTGTTGCGTGCATTTAAATTAGTCAAAGTCTGTTTTGTCATAACGTTTGCATATTTGTTCATTTCTATGGTGTATAATCCCTTGAAGGAAGGATATGCCGTTCCATACAAGCGTCTACAATATCTATCGGCAGCCAAATGTTGCAATAATTGTTTTCTAAGCATTACTTTGCCGGCAATGAATGTAGATACGGTTGGAATGATCATGAGTCTGCTCTGTTCGGCTAACATGGTACTCGAAATATATGGCATGTCATTTGAAGAGGTGACAAACTTTGCAGAAATACGAAAATCATTGTTACATCGATCGTAAGGTTGTCTACTAGAGACTCGATCACCTCCGGTAAATTGTTTAAATTTGCGCCGTCCGCCTTCGTCCATGTCTAATATCGGAATTTCGTTCTCGATTGCAAATCGAATTTCTTCCGCGTTTGAACGAAAAGTAGCATCCATTCGATTATCCGATTTCGAAGTAAAAAAGTTTGCAGGAAGAGTACGTACGAGATTGCTCTTTTTTCCAAAAATGTAGTTAAGAATACCTATAAACATTGATTTTCCATTAACCGCCTCCCCGTGCATGAACATTACTAAACGTCCATTGCTATCCGTGGATAAACCGAGAGCTAAAAATTCCAACACGAGTCGTGCTTGTTCGGACGAGCCAAATATTTCGATTAACATGGTCCACACCAGTTGATCCCACGTTATTTCGTTTTTAACGAAAACGACAGGACCACCGTCGTCGTTTTCGGATGTACAAATGGTTGCCTTGTCCATGACGGGCGCGTACATATCGGGGTGCCTTTGTAACATTATCCTCATTGCGAGAAGAGACGATGCCGTTGCAATGTACAGTCCAAATTTAGATTTAGATTGGTCACATTCCGTGAAACGTTTTATGCGCTCGCTGGTTTCGTCGTTTAATTTATGGATTTCAGATTTAGACGGCAGGCAATTATCGTTAGTAGATGTAATTATTTCATCGTCGTATTCTATGTTTTCAAAATATTCCTGAAACCTAGTGCTTGGATCACTGTACAATTCATCTAAAAAGTCTTCCATAAATTTGTCGGGATCTCTGTTTTCCAGCATTTTGTCCGATACTTTCATAGTGACGGAACGTAAAATGGTTAACATTTCCTTGCCAAAATTTCGTTGTTCGAACGCCTTCCACGCGGAATCCATCCAATTACATATTACTTTACACCTATACTGTATACCCCCTCGCATGGGGTGAATCTCGGTATATACGTGTTCAACCAATTCATCCTTTCCTAAATCTAATTTGCAATCGCTTCTAACTGTACATAATTGCGATGCGTCCCACGGAATGTATTTTGCATCGTATAAATCATACGTTACATTGTCTGGTAAAACGAGATGCCTGTTGGTGGTTAAATTTACATTGCTATTATTAGCTCCAGATTGCAGGTACGTATTTAAGTTTGAAAAATCGACTTTATGCTCCAATTTCTTCGTAGACATACGCAAAAAATTATAACACAAATCGAAAGGTGTAATGTTATCACCAGCCGATTCGTATTCGAAACAAGTTTTTATCGCAACGAGTTCTAAATCTAATATTAATTTGCTCAAATCATCTAACACCATGGTTCCAGTTGCAGCGTTATATTTGAAAAGATCGTAACTGTCCGAGGCTTTGTTATGTACGAGCATACATACGTTGCTTATACTTAATAATCGTTTAATATATTCGTTGTATACCATGTTTACAACACCCATTCCTTTAATCAGTTCAGATAGCAACCATTCCGAAGTTTCTTTGTCTTCGTTAGTCATTTGAAAAAGAGGTTCGTATTGTAAACGCACCAATCGTCTCGGTAGATTAAGTGGTTTTACAGCATTCAACTCTTCTCCGCACATGTTCTTTCTCTTACGACCCCTTTGAGTTTTAGCCCTTCGCATAGTAGGTATTAAGCGATCGCTACGAGTGGTTTCGAAATCTGCGTCTTCTTCATTTTCATCATCCTCTTCCTCTGTGGTCAACGATTCCACCGGAGTGTACCTCCACAACCAAGCCACGGCACGATCGTAATGAAATCCTGGGTCGTCTTTCATATTCTTCTGAACTGTTTTCGACAATACACGAAAAATTCGCCTACCAACGTTATAATTCATGTTACTTGCCACGATTAGGAGTAAACGATACCATTTATCGTAGGTAGATGCGTAATTTGCGAAGTATACTAATTTTAATAAAGCCCACTTAAAGACGTATTCTCTAGCAATAGCTGTTGTTTTTGGTTCACCGATACCGCAATATGAAATCCCCTTATATGCTTTTGCCAATTTAATACAAATTTCGGGAGAGTTTGGACGAGCGTTATTTAAACGGCGGCCCTGAAAGGTCGGTCTACCGTCTGGGAAGGAAATGTTTATACGTTGTTCTTGTTCGTTTGCGAATATATCGCCCCATTCTGCACTACTTGAAAGCAATTGAAAACCCTCGTTACATCGTCCCAAATTATCAATATCCCCATTACCATCTAATCCTTCGTCTTCGCTCGAAACGTGATCTAAATCCTGTTGGACGGACGTAGAAGGTCTTGCAACAAGTATCGATTCCAAATTATTACTCGGTATTCTCGTCCAGTCTATTACGATATCCATATCATCCACATCTCTATGGAGAGAAAGTATATGTCTCAAACTTTTGCTCGATATATTTTGTGGACCGTAAAAGTCGAGGCGAAAATCCTCGGTATCTGTATCAATTTCGAATTTTAAGCTCGTTACATATTTGTAGGCGCTTGTAGAGTCGAATTTGCGACTATTGTAAACAAGCCACTGCGATGAACCGGCAGTTACATCCAAATCCGGCCAATCCACTTTCATCGCAAGGAGTCCTAATTTTCGTACAGGTGTTAATATGTTAGCTCCGTTACATGCTTTATCGTCAACGAATACAACATTCAGATAGTGCACATGCCAACGTTCCACAGTGACGTTTTCATTCTCAAAATATTTCATGCGACTTGTCAAAATAGCATTCACATTAAATACCTTCTTTCCGATGTTATGAAGTATATATGGCTTGTAACAGCATATAAGATGTTGAGCGAATTTTCCTACACGGGCGACTACATTGTCCATGGTCAAAGAATCCTTCGGTGTACAATCGAAATCCAGGACTAAACGATAGATGTACTTGTCTTGCATGGTGGAGGACATTGTAGAGCCGATGAGTTCTTGAACATTATCTTTAGGTATAACTTCCATTTCATCCAGGAGTCTATTTGCATTTTGACGATCGAGTGCCACAGTTGCCCTTCCAACGAGGTGCGTTGGAAATCTTTCTTGAGGATCCATTCTGCGTTTTTAGAGGGAAGAAACGGAAAATTATTTTACAGAAACATATAAAAAATGTCTTGTTGTAACGACTCTTTCAATTTAATAAAAACCACGAGTCAAGGTTTATGTGCCGACGAAATGAGTCGTGTGATTACTATCTGTGGTAAATGTTTTAAAACACTGCACAAGTATTCGCAACGACCACCCATTGACAAAAATATAATAACGAATTATACACCAAGAAAGTTTTATCTCAAGTAATCATAATGTATACTCTTTTATATGCAATGTACGCATCCGAAAATGGTATGGGGTCTTTAAATAATTTTTAAAAAATTCTTAACGAAAAACATACTCATGCGAGTCGTGTTGCACAAGCAGCTATGGAAACTACGTCGTTCGCCGCAATAGTGGATTTCATGAGTCTATATTACGATACTATGAATTGTGTGCATTTACAAAACGATACTAATTTTGCTAGAGATACTGCATTAAATCACATTACCAAAGTTTTAGACGATGGTTTACAATTTAATAGCGAATGGTACGAACCAGAAGTTTGGATGAAACTCGCAAATCATCCAGTGATCAATATTTTAGAACCGATCATAGTGTCACATCGAGGTATACGAAGATCGTCTGGTAATTTAGCACACCTCTGTTCGCCCGTACCATCACCTTGGTTAACATCCTTCTTTAAATCTACTAGATTTTTATCTTTTGTGTACGCTGCTTATAAGAGTGACAATCACCATAATCTGTTTGCTATATTACCAAAAGCAAGTTTTGTACATTTACATAATAGATTACAGGCAATATATGGTAATTTGGCACCAGTTGATAAATCTTTGGATAGTTTCACGCACGGTGAACTGATTTGTAAAGAATACATACCCAAAATAATAGAAGAATGTAATGACAACAGTTTGTTGCAACTAAAAAAAATACCATCTAATGTTTACTATACAACACCCATAGACGAAAAAAGGTTGGACCCACCTTTGATTCCGGATTTTAATAGTTTAATGAAATCTTCCGCTGCGCTAGAAATGCCGCAATTAACACCATTGGATTTATCTAACAAAGACGAAGAGTACGTCCCGATGTGTGTAACCGATGTTCCTAGGACAACTACCTTTACATACACTCCAACGAGGACTTCTGGTGGTGGGGATCCACCTTATATATAGCTCCGAAAAATGTGTATATATTTGTATGGACCAAAAAAAAATAAACTCGTCGACTGTTCTAAAAGGTATTATGTTTTTATTCCATAGTGGTTCAAAGATGCTTTCACTGGGTGAACTTTTGTTATTGTTTCCTCAGTATATTTCCATGATAATGCCTGTTGTTAGTAAACGTAGCAATCATATTGGGATTGGTTGTTCCAAATGCACTAAAAATTGTGATATTTTGCACATCCCAAGCGACTATATAATGGGTGTGATGGTAATGCTTTCGCGAACGTATCCAGACGCTCCCAAACAGGAATCACTCTGCATGTGGTACAATTTGCCCTTGGAGAATGCCATGCCCAATAAAGTATTTACTCACACGCACTCTCAAGTTCCCTTTTCTTTGCGTGACGATTGTGAATACGTCATATCCATTTTTATAGGATTTATAAATCCAAACGACGATTGCGAAATGAAGATTATGGATTGTTGGGTGAGGCTTGGTTATACCATCCGAAGTTTAGATTACGAACAACGTATGAACTTGGTCAAAGAATTGGGATTTGCAACTTTTCTTTTCCAAACGGATCGCGACAACAAAACGCGAACTTCTATGTGGTCTGTTTTAAATCAAAACAAGTATATTAGATACGTATGGATACCTACTGAGGTGGACAAGTTCACTCTGTTAACTACTCCAGAAGGAAACTTGTACGATTCGGAAGGCTCTGAACTTCTACACGAGTGTTGGGACGCAATAAATAAACATGTCACGCGAAACACAACCATCACCGCTGCAATTATAAAATGCAAAAGAAACAGTCACCAGTTAAGGGTGTTCAAAATGCATCCCTCAATGACAAACATTTTACGAGTACCAACGATATTCGTCAAATAATTCGTTACGATCGTAAATTAGATTACACAATCAACGAAGATGTAGCGATGTACATGTATAAATTAACTAGTTTTGTATTTTATCGAGAAGCCACTTTCCAGACTTTTAAAAATCCGTTCATGAAAAATTCACCACCTTATCGTGCCGATGCAGCTTGCCCTGCTCTTAAACTTATGGTGGAATACAACGGTAAATATCACTACGATAAGAGCGATTGGCCTCGCACTCGTAATGACGTTCTAAAACGTCGTTGGTGCAAATTAAACGGATATACACAAATAGTCGTCCCTGCAAGTGTGTATAAAAATATATTGCAGGCATATTTACATTTTCGATTACTCACGGATACCGATATCCGCGTGAAATACGATAAAAGTGATGTTTTAAACGAGGTTGTGTTTACAAAGAAGGAAATCGAATGGATAGACTATGTGTTACACAGTGTTCTTCCAAACTTTTTAGAAGGCTGCGGGAAACGCATATCGTCATTATTAATATTCAACGATATAACATCTGAATGCACCATAGCGTTCCGTCTTCAGTATCCCATATGCAAAGACGTGATAAGAGACCCGTCGACGAATCGCATCTTACAAACGTATGACGATAACTGTTGCGATTATGGAGCGACGACGCTATATTTTTGGAAGAATCGTCCAATAAAAAACGTAAATCGCCCCAACGACATTCACATCCCACTGTTTCTAATTGGAACGCGCAATAAAGAAACCAGTTTGGCTAAATACATCAGTTATAGACTTATCGATACAATAGATCAGGCAACCGTTTTTTGGAAAATTTGAAAATGTTTTCCAAGAAAAAAGAAAATCTAATTCTAGATATATTAAGTCGAATAGTGAATGGGAGCGTTCAGCGTCAGTTCACAGACGAAGGTTTAAATTATCATTATATTTTACAGAGCACGTTTCCTAACCAAATATGGGACCCAAAAAAGAAACACGTTCATCCGCTGCGATTCGACGCCATGTGCATTTTAAATACAATGATCGATAGTAAAATATACATAGCTGTGGAATACAACGGTCCCTACCATTACTATTTCCGTAACGTAAAAAGAACAAAGCACATTCTCTTAAGCAATGATTGGTTAAAACGTATCTGGTGTCGAGCAAATGACGTACATTTAATTTGCATTTCTCCTGCTGCGGTCTTAACGGATCGTTACATACGTTTTCGCATAAATGCTGTGACTACAAATAGATGGCACACGATGCGCGGACCGATACAACAGTCTTCCGATTCCGTCATTCTTTTTGAAGCATTGAATAAAGTTCGTTTAAACACGCTTACTTGGTGCGTGGAAGTGATCAGAGACGACGACGATTGTATTACCTGCATGATTTCTTATTCTTTAGATGCAAATAAATATTGTCGCCATCCAGATATGAACCTAGAAGTGAGGCGTAAGTCATCGATGGAAACTCGTTTTACTATCACGTGTTGGAAAATCGAATCCCTAGTTGCAAAAACAATACATGTCGAAGGTATGTTAAAGCACACACAAATACACTTACCGTTTTATCTACTTTCAACTAAGAATTTAGTGGAATATCTTACGTGTCGCATAATAGATGAAATTGACGATATATGTTTATTTGCTAAATGGAATAGAGACGTGTTATTTTACACAGACACAATAAGTCAATGCATTGCTAAAAAAATACGAATTTATTGACTCACACCACCACACACGTAGGTCTCTTTCTCTCAACCATTTCTTTTAAAACAGCATCTTCAATAAGCAGATCGATGTACATACACATCCCGTGGGCTCATTGTGAAGTGATTGAAACGTATCACTTGATATGGATTGTCGCCAAACAGTGCTATTTCCTTGTCACAGCGTGCGAGAATGAACTGTCGCAGCTCTTCAATGGCAACATCAGGCTCTTGCAATTTACAGGATTCCACAATACCCATTTGCAGATCGTACGTCATGTTATGGACAGCGTAATTAATTACACTTCGCGTCGGCTCCGAAAATTCACTCAATCGCACAACAGCAGTCACCTCTCGCAGGATGGCACCGTTGAAGAACTTGAAAGGCCGCACACACTTTTTCAATGTCTCCATGAAGATCACATCGTCCCAGTAAGGTCCGGAAGTAAAGTCCATCACGACGGCCATGTCACCCATTGCGAGAAGTCGATTATCGATGCACCAATTTTCGTTGTCGGGTGTCGTGACTATTGTAAATCCTGGAGGACAGTCGTTGTAGTAGTCGGCGTTGTTGAAGAGGAAGATCCATTCTTCGTTCACCGTTGGTTTCACGTGCTCTTTCCACATGTTGATGCAAGTCACAACGAGTTCGTACAACGGTGGAACTCTTTCCATGTGCCGATAATGTCTACCGTACGCAATGTTTTCCAACGTAACCTTTACGTACTCGTTAGCATCGTTAGATGGTGGAAGATCAAAATTGTTTATACCAATATCTTCAGCGGACTGTTCTCTACTCAATCCATCTTCACACTCATACGTCAATCTGGCCACGTACGAGTTTACGAAAGCTCGCACCTCGTTGGAGTTCATAACGTTCTCACAAAACGAAAAAACAAGTGTGTGGGTCTTACCCTCACATTTATATAACTGAATAAAGAAAAAAAAGAGGGCGTAACCGGTGACACCCACACTTACGATGTATCTACACCCAACTCCTCCTCTCAAATCTAAAAATGGGACCAATGGGAATGAAGTAAAAAAACACCACCCACACCGCATAGACACGCCTACCCCTCCCACACCGTTTATATATGTATATATGTATTTTTCGCCGACATTGCAATATTTCGAAAACGAACAATCTGTGACGGATCCTCCCCTAGCACGTTCATTTCCCGTGGCACCCGTTCAATCATGAATCGTTCCAACTCGTCGATAGCTACGTCGTACTCGTGTAAATAACAACACTTCAATAAAGTTCTTTGTACATCATATGTGAGATTATATATACCATATTGTATAATTTTTCGCGTATTGTAACTATACTTTGATATATTAATATGTCCAGACACTTCACGTAAAAGACATCCGTTGTAAAATATGTGAGGTCTAGCACATTTCTCAAACGTGTCTAACAAAATATTACGATTCCAAAGAGCACCTGTTTGAAACTCCATCGTGCTTTCAAATGTTAATAAACTATTATTAATCACCCAATTGTCACAATTCGGTAAAGACACAAGTGAACATCCGAGTGCACACATGGGGTTTCCGTCCATCGCTTCTAATACTTTAACCCATGAATTCGGCAATGTAGGACGTACATAATCTTTCCACATTTCGACAATTCCAATTATAAGTGAATATAAAGAAGGTGTAACTTTTGCATGATGGATCCTTCTATATGCGATACACTTAAGTCTATCTCTTATAAAGGTACAAACATCTAAAGGAAGTACATTGTACAAATTTACGTCCAAATCGTTCAATGTTGGGCAAACAGAAAACCCACGTTTGTAAACCTGTATACACTCCTTAACGTAATCTTCGGCAAACCCACGTATATCGGCCATCTCGCTTTTTTTTTCGTCTGTACAGTGCTCAGTTAAATATCTACCGCAATACAAAAGCTCCGCCTACCCCCCACTCCCTCCAACATCTCTCTCCCCCACACAACCGCTCCCCCCTTATAAGACAGCCTGTATTGTAAAGGAGTATCCAGTCATCGCAATGTCTTGCAGACCACCCAAGGGTGTATTTCAAAGCGATAAATTCAAAAATCCCAAATACATTACGTCTGGAGGATTCAGTCGTGTATATACAGCAATAGATAAACGTACTAACGAATCCGTGATTATTAAGTATGGACTTTTAAAATACATGACTGAAATATGGGACGAAAGTGCATGTGGTGGGATCCTAATTCCTTCGGAAGTTAAAGTTATTCAACACATTTCGAAAATAACTAATAATATACCGATAATAAAAGATTATGGAAATTTCAAGTGGAGGACTTTGGATATATTCTATATAGCCATGTTAAATAATCGTGGAACCGAATTATATACTTACATTCGCGATCTCAATAAACCTAAATTAACTGTTAAAGAAGCGCTAGTCATTTTTGAAACAATTGTGAATTGTATGATACAAGCTACGAGGTTAGGTAATGTGTATCACGGAGATCTAAAAACTAGCAATATTATCATAAACGACGCAAAAGAAGTTACAATTATAGATTGGGGGTCAGTTCATATAAATAACGAATTGTGCAAGTATTCCACATGTACGAGAGAATATGCGTCGCCAGAATCATTAGTCATATCTAAAGGAGGTGACGGTTATGAACCCGAACTTTTATTGGTTTGGAGTTTGGGTGTAATA